TGTTAACAAAAATGTACTATGGTGGACCGAGGATTTCCATGCCAGGCCCCTACCTCGTTTGTGGTTCTTATAATTAGAAGTATACAATGGAAAGGAAATAAAGCGGTCAGGTGCTTAATTAATACTACTCCTGTTGAAGGCTGGATTATGACGGAAGAAATTTGGGAGGAGATAAATTAAAAGAAATGAAGTGGTCATACTTCTTACATGTATTTTATGGAAGTGTTACTCACATAATTGTAATCTTGATGAGAATTGGTCTTTTTGTATTGCTGCATGTACATTGTTGATGAGTTTTTAACAAACGTGCTTGATTATCATCCAGGTATTTTTCATTTTGGAGTCAACCCCTGAGACCATGTTTCGAACAGATTCTGTGAAATATGCTCTAATTGGATTGATGAGAGATCTAAGGGGGATAGCAATGGCCACAAGTAGGTTAGTGCAGATGACTTTTGGTAACATGAGTTAAGATGGATTTGCAATACTTGTTTCCAAATATTTCTTCATTGTGTTTCAGTCGCAGAACTTATGGACTTCTCTTTGACTGGATTTATCCTGCTCACATGCCAATTCTGCTTAGGGGAATCTCACACTGGGCAGACACACCTGAGGTTAGATGTTATTTAGGTCTATCTGTCCCTTCAGTTATATCTTACTGTAAATTGAAAACTATGGTGGTTGATTTCTATCTATTGGTTCAGCCATATTTTTAAATGGCACTGCTATGGTGAGAGTTATATCTTCCTCTCGTCAAAGGCGACGCAGCGCGCCTCACCCAGGACCTTCCAGTTTCTGAGTTTTTTGAGAATTACCTTGATAATTCGCTCTCTCCTTCAATCTGAATTTGTGCACTGCCACACCCAAACTAGGTTTTTGCCTTTTCTGTTTCCTTTCAGCCGACCCATCCCTTTCTGTTTCTTCATTTTCTGTTTTTTTTTTTTTCCTTTTAATTTTCTGCTTTTTTGTTTTTGCCTTTTCTTTTTTTTCCTCTCTCTTTCCATCCTTCCTGCCCTCATTTCTGCCTTATCTGTTCCTTGCTTTTCTTTATTCTATTTTTCTTGTTTCTGCCTTTTCTCTTTTCTGTTTATTTTGCCATGGCCGCTTTTCGTTTTTTTCCTTTGCAGTTTCTCATTTTCAATTTTAGTTTTTTTTTTTCATTTTCTTTTTCTGTTTCTCCTTTTCATTTCTGGTTTATATTTTTTTTTTTAATTGCCCGTCTCTATTTTCTTTTCCTTTTTCCTCTTAGTTTATTTTATTTTATGTTTATAATATTATTTTGTGTTTTTGTTTCTAATGTTGTGTTTGTTATAATACTTGAGGTTGATTTTGCAAGTTGAATAAAAAAAATTAAATTCACTTTCTTAATTATTGTTTGTTATGCTTTGGTGCCTTGTGTTGTCAAAACCTCGCCTCGTGGCTTTTCCATGGGCAAATCGCTTCTGATCGTAATTCGCTATTTAAAACTATGTCTTTCAGCGTACTAGATGTTTATTTATATTTTCTTTTACCATCATACTTGGTTTTTTACTATTATGTATGCACTAAAAATATGTTAAATTGAGTACATGAATGAGTTGAAAGTGAAACAATAATTTAATAACGAGCAATTGACTTCACCTAGTTGAACTGTTTCAATTCTTCCCCCATGTGTGAGTGTATTTCTGCATATATTCTCTTGGATATATCATGTGATTATTTTCATTGTAGGGACTGCATAGTCCACAGGGAAATGCATCTTTTGTTGAGTAGATCATAACTCTGATGAATATGTTTCCTCTCAATTTTGGCACTCATCGGAATATCAAAAGATCGATTCATGCAGCCTTGTTCAATCTTTTCTGTTTTGATACATTTGAAAAATCACGGCTCATTGAAACTTATTTGTGTAGGTGACAACACCATTGCTGAAATTCATGGCTGAGATCGTATTAAATAAAGCTCAAAGATTGACTTTTGATACTTCATCTCCGAACGGCATACTTCTTTTCAGAGAAGTCAGCAAGCTATTAGTTGCCTATGGCTCGAGGATTTTATCATTTCCAACTGCTACTGATGTATATGGCTTCAAATACAAGGGAATATGGATTTCCTTGACTATTCTTACTCGGGGTAAAAATTCTATGCAGTCATGCTAAAACCATATTGGTTCTTTATGGTCCTTACTCCTTATTAATAAGTGCATTTAGGTTTCTTTTTCGTTTGTGTTCATGTGCGTGTTCTATTTTTAGCATTAAGCTCATTGGCTATCTGTTTTATCGACAATGTTAGAGTAACCTTTTTATTTGAATTCGTTCTAGGAAACTCTTTGTTGTCGTGCGCACAGACTTTACCTGTTGCTAGACTTGTGACAATATTGTACCATGACATATTTGTTAGTTGATCCTATTTCAGTTACAATTGCAGTAGGCAATGACATGAGTGTCAATCCCTCGTTGAGTTTATCTGATCCATATATAGAAGGAAACTTGGGTATCCTTTTATTTCATTGTAATTCTAGAAGGAAAATTGGTTGATATGCATGTATGAATGCATATTAGAGTACAAAATTAATTGAACATCTTATATTGCTCCCCTTAAAAGTGCTCAGTTGAATGTTATAAATCTATTGCACTATCATGTCATCATTTTTGAGGAGGTCATTGTTGTGGGGGGGGGGNATGCGTGGTAGCTAGACAACTGTGGGTTGGTTTGCTCATTTTAGGGTATTGAGCCATACACCTCTCCCCCCTCCACAACAGAAAAAAAGGACAAAGGAAGATGTGAAATCCAATACTCCTTTATATCAGTCCTGTACCCTTTCCTGTTGCTCAAATCTTGCATACTCAGCTGATATGGTTTATATCTGTTTGCATCCTAGTTTGACCAGAACCCACTAATGTGACTTACAGTTACTCACATGAAAATCTAATAGAACATCATTTTCATTTGCATTTCATATAAAGTATTTTTTAGTTCTACTAACAGATTACTCTTTATTTTCAATTATATCCACCAAATGACAGCGCTCGCTGGAAATTATGTCAATTTTGGTGTTTTTGAACTTTATGGTGATAGAGCACTTGCGGATGCACTTGATATTGCCCTTAAGATGACGCTGTCAGTTCCACTGGCGGACATTTTGGCTTACAGGAAGGTTTGTTAGCTATTTCATGGTGCAGTAATTTTAAATTTTAGTGTTTCATTTGCTTTTGGTCAAATTTTCAGAAAACCATATTCTCTGGGAGTTGAATAGGTAGGTAGCTAGGCATATAGTAAATTATAAGGGAAGGAATGTGAGCTTTACTTGTGAGAATTCATTTTTATTCGTTGCAGTTAACAAAGGCATATTTTAGTGTTTCATGTTGAATTCATTTTTTAATGTGACCTCAATTAATGAGCTTGCCCTCATTCTTATTCGTTGCAGTTAACAAAGGCATATTTTGCATTCGTGGAGGTTCTATTTAATAGCCATCTTGTTTTTGTTTTGAGCCTTGATACACGCACCTTCATGCATATCGTTGGTTCACTTGAGTCTGGTCTCAAAGGTCTCGATGCTGGCATATCCTCCCAGGTTTGTCCTGATTGTGGTTCAAATTCTTAATATTTCATATATCATATACCAATAGTAACCTCTGTTAGTTTACTAAGCGTTGACTTTGATGCCGTTTTCTACTGCTGCTGTTGTCCAATGGGTCATGATTTTGTGTAAATGTGCTGTGTGATAACATGTGAAGTTCAGTAATAATGATTGTGTATAAGTGCTGTGTGGTAGCATGTCATGTTCAGTAATTATGAGCCATAGATGCTGTAGTCCTTTAAAGGCGTGTTGAACATCTTGGATTGTCAATCTTAGCCCTCTGTCAGTCCACCGGATGCTTAACTTCTCATGCATCTTGAAGTCTGGATTATTATAACATCTTCTGGTTTGTAAGAGAAAGATACTGATTTTGGTCCACCATTGATATTACTTCAAGAATTTCCCAACCATATGCCATGTTAAGTTGATGGGTATAATTAGGGAGAACTCATTTGTAGTGAGTTTACAAGTTAAATTTGTAATTGATCAGTTTTTGGTTTGGTGGTCATGCATGTACTGACCCTATGATTTGCAAGATTAATTACTGCATATAACATCATGTATGCTGTACGTGTTGCTTGTGAATTGTCATTCTTGCATATACATGATTTTGGTTCTAAGAAGAGACTTGATACATGGATTCAGTTGATGTATAGAGGTGCCATAACCTATAGACAAAGATAAGAATTACTAGTAGGAAAGAATAATTGAAGCTTATACTGGGTGTGTGCATCTAGAGCTGATTTCAAAATCAAGCCTATTAATTTCCTACATTTTCGAGGATTTTATGTTGGTAAGAGATGCATGTAGCCCTGGCTTCTTGGTCTGGAACCTGCAGATCTAAAAAAATCTGTCTCTTGCATATGGTTGACAGTTCTAACAAGAAAAATCAATGGCGGCATCAAAATATTATATATTCTGCTAATATTGTTGTCGTTATGATGATATATTGACTATATGGGAATACCATCTTGCATGAAATTTTCCATATTCTGCTAATATTGTTGTCATTATTATAACCAATGTGGAAATACCATTTATCATGAAATTTTCCATACATCGAAATACATCTATACAAAAGCACACCCTACAACGATAAACAAAAAGCAAAGACACATAGATCAACAATACTATCAACGTGTACAGGTGTAAAACTGTACCATAATACACGACCATCTTTTTGTTGGAATAATACCAAGAACCGACCCAAAGTACCAGACCTATAGGTAAATGCTTCCAGCAAAACCCGATCACGCACTATGGTGCTTAATTTCCGTTGCATAATGATCAGTGTTTCCCAGGGTCTTTAATGATATGGTTATTATCATAGGAAAATGTCGATTGAGACATTTTTTAATATCTTTTGCTTTTACTATATGTTTCTTTATAGAGCAAAATACATTGATTTGAGTTGAGGTATGTATCTTTGCCATGTTCTCCGGACAGTCTGTGTTTGTGGCTGCATAAATGCAATTCTATGTTAAGTTCTGAGGGTATTATTGGATACATGCAAATTATGTGATTTCTTTGTGTGGTCTTCACTATTTAAATCGGATCCTTGGATCAGTTAATTTAGCCTGTCAGGGTTGAAGCATCTATCAGTCTTGCTGAATGTTCCCAATTTGCTGTTGTGGCAGTGTGCATCTGCAGTAGATAATGTAGCTGCTTTTTATTTCAATAATATAACCATGGGTGAAGCGCCGACATCACCAGCTGCAGTTCATCTTGCCAGGCATGTTGCCGAATGCCCGACATTGCTCCCTGAAGTAAGATTTTTAACTACTTATAATACAACCAATATGATGTGTTGTTAATGCCTACATTTCAAGAGCCATTGTAGACCTGCCCAAGTTATGTCCTTTTCGCTCGTTTGTTATAATGTCTGTTATTGCATATCAATGGTATATGAGTAGGTTTGGTATCAGTGTCGATATTTTTCTATTAGTACAAAATTTTGAGTGATAGGGTTATCTATGAAATGTTCATCATGTATCAAACAGTATCTGTTCTTCAGTGCATGACATCTCCGAAAAATGTAATGGAAATAATTTTTTTGTCAGAACACAATTTGTTTGAAAACTTTGTACAAATTCGTTAATGAGAAGCTTGAAATAAAATTATTACCATTAGATTCTTATTAAGATAGTATGGTGTCTAAAGGCTTTAGGTATACATCCAATACTTGTAGGTAGAATATGCTTCAATCAAATTATGTCTGGTCTGGTTTATTGAAGACCTATAAGGCTTTATACCTCAAGTGCCACTTGGAAAACTATCACATGAAAAAGACGGCATGCTTCATACTGGATTGTGATCCTTGAAATTTTGGTGTCATCACAAAGCATCCAGTTTCTCAAACTTCAGGCTCCATAGAATTTTTTCTGTGTGCAGTATCAAAATTTTCGGCTAACATGTTAAGTACTTGACAGGGACCATATTTCCTTCACCTCATTGCTTGTGAAATAGATTCGTATACTGCCACCACTTTTTTTTTTTTTAATTTTTTTCTTTTTCTGTCTTGATCTAACTAAAAACTCTTTTATTTCAGATACTCAAAACCCTTTTTGAGATTGTTTTATTTGAGGACTGTAGCAACCAGTGGAGTCTAAGTAGGCCAATGTTGAGCTTGATACTCATAAATGAGCAGGTGGTTACTTTTCCCCATTGATATTTTCGTCTCTCATTATTATATGATTGAATTTCTGGTTTATATTAAGTTGCTAAAATCATGTATTTTGTTGCTCATGAATTGTGCTATGAAATTGTGAGCGCACAATAATATACTGCTGCTCTGATTTAATTATTCAGTTAGCTGGTCTTTCCTTTTGTCACTTTTTACAAGATATGATGGGGTTGATTTAATTATTTTTTATTTCTGCAATCAATACTGTACCAAAGGATATGAATCTAGAACTATTGTCTGATTAAAGATTACGAGCCCCAAGTACAAAAAAAAACNTTTTGCAATATATTTACCTTTCATCACACGTTCTTATACTTAGCAATGAGGTAATTAATCCGATGAAAAATCACATTTGCAGATGTTCACGAACTTGAAAGCTCAAATACTGGCTTCACAGGTAAACCAAGCATTCTGTTGAGTTCTTATTTCAGACTTGTAAAGTCTTTAAATAAATTTTCATTATTGATTTTTGTCATTTAGAAATACATACCTCTACTTATTTTCCCAGTGACACGTGGATAGTTTATTTTGAATGAACTTTTTTATTCACTAAATAGTTTTATTTATTTAGCTGATTTTTCATTCACTCTATGACTTGCAGCCTACCGATCAGCATCAGCGACTTGCTGCTTGTTTTGATAAATTGATGTGTGATGTCAGCCGAGGCTTGGATTCAAAGAACAGAGACAAGTTTACACAAAACTTGACCACATTTAGGCACGACTTCCGTGTCAAGTAGCAGGCATAAAAGGGTACATAATTGGGAACATCACTTTTTATGTTTTTTTTTTTTTTGGAATCATTTTATAAATGACCTACGAAAGGTCTCGTTTGTTGTATGGCTAAAAAAATGCGAAGTTATATGAATCCGCAATGAAATCATGTTATTTGCTGCTATTGCTTTGTACGTTCCTTTTTTATATGGGCTTAAAAAACTTGACTGTACTATAAGACTAAAAGGCAGATGGATGTGTTTGTTTGTTAGGATGAAGGCAATTGGTGGTCCAATGATATATGTAATGTATTCTCTCACATGTATAGAGAGTTTACACGTGTCATAGGAGAATTAGCATGAAAATCTGATTGGGGAGAAAGTAACTATGATCTGATGTTGAAAGTAACTATACTATTCACTCTAGTACGGTACATACATGTCATGTCTTCCTACATTTCAATGTGATTTGCGTTTTTTCACCTCAAGTCGGAGACATGTTTGATAGGGGATTTTAAATTGTAATTATGAAAATGATTATTTTTTATTATTAAACACTTTTTATGTACAATTTTTTCTGTATTCTTTTCCTCTTCACAAATTAAAAATTTTAACCTTCCGGAAAATAAAAAATGTATTATCTATATTATTTTTTAAATTGTCACTTTAAACATTTTGTTTGGCACCATTACTTTAATAGGATTCTAATAGCATATATTATTATTATTATTATTATTATTATTATTATTATTATTATTATTATTATTATTATTATTATTATTATATGTTGGATAAATGTCAAAACAATTATACTTGGTAAACAATTACCAGTTTACACTATCATATTGCCGATTTATTATCTATATTTGCACTGCATATCATATTCTGATTTGTGTTTGCTAAAAAAAATCGTTGCAAATGATTTTTTTTTATTGTGTGCAATTTATCTTTTATTTGCTTATTAGTACGTTGATGAAGACGAGACCGCCCTAGCCTTTCTCGACAAATTCGACCGTCTACGCATCTAGATTATTCTACATATTATATTTCCTATTATTATTTAGTAAGAGATATTTTATTTCCTTAGGAGTGTTTTATTATTTAGGAATAAATAAGATAATTATCTTGTTGCACAAGATAATTAGAATTAGGATTCTCTTTCATATGACTCTATATATTGTCCCTCTCTTATGAAGTTGGATCGATGAACATTGAATAAAATTAAGAACTCTTGAGTTTTCTCTTATATTCCTTTCGTCTACCACGTTGCTGCATCAGTTGGTATCAGCTGTCGGGACGATTCAAGATGCCGCCAAAACGAGACAACGATAGACGAGATGCCCATCTCGAAGATTTGGATCGCCGAACCGACGATCTAGGGTTCCAAATCGACCGGGTGGATCGCCGTGTCGAAGGTCTTGCTGAGGGGATCGAGGAAATCCGACATGCCATGCGCCACTTGATGGCGGACGAGGACACGAGACGCGATGCCCGCGGCCGGGGTAATCGCGGCGGAACACGCGGCGGCCGTGGTGGGAGGGGGCCGTTCGGGTTTCCCCGTTCGCCGTCCCCACGCTCGTCGCGCGGCCGGAGTACGGACAGCGGTCGTACCGCCTCGGACGTCAACCCTTTCGGCGGTCCGAGGAGGCGGCGGGATGTTTCTGTTGGCGAGCGGTCCGATCTCTACGGGCCTGAGGAGGACGCCGATCTCAACGGCCACCGCCGGGGGGGTGGTGACAGCCGCTGGGAGGCGGGTTTCCGGGTGGAGGTGCCAGAGTTCTCGGGCGGGCTCGACGCCAGCGGGTTTCTCGACTGGATCGCTGCGGTTGAGTCGATCTTAGATTTCAAGGAGGTGCCGGAGGATCGTCGTGTTGCATTTATCGCTACCAGGTTACGTGACCACGCGGCTGCGTGGTATAATCAACTTAAGGGTCGGCGGCATCGCATGGGCAAGCCTCAGATCACTTCTTGGGCCAAGTTCCGGAAACATATGGAGCGTGAGTTTCTCCCGTTTAATTTCACGCGTACTCTTTACCAAAAATTTCAAAATTTACGTCAGGGGCCTAGATCTGTTAACGAATACACGGAGGAGTTTTATCGTCTCCTGACCCGGATTGATGCACGTGAAACGGAGGACCAGCTGATTTCCAAATATATCGGGGGATTACGTGTATCATATCAGGATGTTCTGAATTTATTTATG